GCTTTATTTGTAATAGCCCAAATTAGAAATGACCAAAATGCAATCAGTTGTGTATCATATCAATATCATGGAATACTACTTAACAATTAAAGGAGGAATGAACTATTCATCCATGCAAGAACTTGGTTGGATCTCAGTGAGTGGGGAAAAGAAAAGAAAAAAAAAAAAAAAGTAATTGCAAAATGTCACATACTTATGATTCAATTTATATAGCTTTCTTAAAATGTCAAAGTGATAGATATAAAGAACATAATAGATATTGTGAGAGTTTAGAGATGATGAGGATGAGGGGGTGAGGGTGACTATAAAAGAGCAGTGTAAAGCAAATCTTTGTGCTGATGCAATAGTTCAGTATCTTGATTGCAGTGGTCATTATACGGATCTATATATGTGATCAGGAGCTCTGGTGGTACAGTGTCTAAGGCACTTGATTGCTAACCAGAAGGTTGGCAGTTCAAACCCACAAGCCACTCTGGGGAAGAAAGCCTGGGCAGTCTATTTCCTTAAAGATTTACCACCTCAGAAATCCAGTGCGGGTCACTATGAGTAGGAATCAACATAATGGCTGTGAGTTTTTTTTTTTTTAATGCATGAGAACATGGCATAGTATCACAGTAATACATTATACTACACCAATACACCCTCCTCGGAAGGAAGGTTGGGCAATCCTACTTCCGTAGTGATACTGCCTCGGAAACCCAAGGAGGGGTCGCTATGAGTCGGGGCCGACTCGACAGCACATAACAACAACAACAACAACACCAATACACCAATGTCAATTTCCTGATTTTGACATTACTACAAATATGAGTCAGGGCTGACTCGACGGCACATAACAACAACAACAACAACATAATTAAGATGTAACCACTGGAAGAAACTAGGTGAAGGGAACATGAGAGCCCTTTGTACTATATGCTTGCAATTTTTTGTGAATCTATACTCACTTGAAAATAAGTTAAATTATTTTTTTCAAATATTATATGAATGTTTTGTCCTTCAAATTTTTTATACTTTCCTATATTCTCAAAATAGCCTTGTATTACTTTTATAATCAGAAGAAAATGCATTACAATTGTATAAAAATAAGTCTGACTTATTTGTTGATGGCTCAAGGCTAAAAGTTATTGATAGGCAGCATGAGATCTATGAATAGTAGACCATGAGATGGAATTTTTCTGTAAAATTACACCTAAAAGTAGCCTAAGGAGAATGATTTCTAAAATATTCTCACAATAGCAATTCTCTTCTTCCCTAACTATTTAGTTAAGAGATAGTGATCACATGTTCTCTTATACATCTATTTATCTGCTATCTAGCTATCTATCAATCATCTAATCTATCTGTTTACCTACCTATCTATCCAGTGCCATCAAATCAGTTCTGACTCATAGTGACACTGTAGGACAGATTAGATCTATCCCGTAGAGTTTCCAAAGCTGTAAATCTTTACTAAAACATACTGCCTCATCTTTCTCCTGTGGAATCTTTTGGTTAGCAGCCAAGTGCCTTAGACAATGCACCACCAGAACACCTCAAGAAAGGCTAAAAGAGTTATTATTGATGATTTTAGTACATAATGTTTACTCTGAAAATATCTTCAAAGTTTCACACGTTCCACCTCACCATTGCCACTTTTAGTCTGGTTACAAATAGAAAAAAAAATCATTCCATTTTCTGGGTGCTTAAAAACAACTAGCTACATATTGTTACTTTTCAATGAATATGTGAATGAGAATTAGTCATTAGAGTCTTAGGTAAATGGCATAGTTTTCTTTTAGAAACTGAACAGTGTGAGTCAATACTGTCCTTCCCTAGCTATGACAATTTGTCACATTACATCATATGGGGCAGTAGAATAGTTATGGTAAGCTACATTCATCATGAAAGCATAACTGTGGGGTTATCTTTTCAGGGAAACTTTCAAAATTTTTATTATTGGAAAGCACCTACTAGAATGTTAGCTGCCAATAATTATGAGATTTTTGAAAAGAGGATAAAATTTTATAAAAAGTATTCAGTTTCTCAAAAAGAAATCTGTAAGTTTTCTCCTACCAAGCAATGAATGTTTCTGTCAACCATTAGTTCAAACTAAGCTACTATCCCCTCTCTCTCTCTTTCTCTCTGACATACCCCTCTAACCACTCTCTGTCAGTCCTGGTCTAGATAAGCAACTTTGAATACTGGGGACGAGTATGTGGTTGGTACATGTGTGATAATGACACAGAAAATTTGAGCTGGAAAAAGGTGCATTAACATGTACTGCTTTAGTTGTTGTTGTTATTTGCTGTCTTAGTGATGAGCAAATCTTATGAATATAAATGACTAAGAAGCTTGACATTGGATGGTATTGTGGAAAAAAGTTTTTGTCTTTTCTAATAAAAATTAGACATACATTTTCCAAGAACCATTGGCATTAGTTACAAATGGAACTTTGAATGTTTCCAAGAAACACTGGAGGCAATTAAGTTTACCAACACAACTGATGCATGAAATTAGAAGCTAAGTTTGGGGAGAGACTAAGGTTTCCTTTAAATTATTTGGCTCTGATTTTCCACTTCCAAAATTAATGCAGCCATAAGATTAGGAGGAAGTGGATATTTGTTACATCCACTGTTGACTTTTAATAATATCATTTGGCATTGGAAAGGAATAATTTAAAAAATAAATGAATGCCCAGTTATTTTGGATGTGGAACTATATTTGAGGGAAGCATGATGTGAAATTAGGCTCTTTCTCCATTATGTTTTACTTTTGGAGAAACCCCAGGAGTGTAAAACATTGATAGAGGCTTGTGTTCCCACTGCTAGTCCATGAAAGTTTAGATAAAACTGATTCTGGCAAAGTTGGTAATGACCAAATAAATCAGAGAGACAAAAATACACACCATGGTGTCTGAACCTCAGTGAACACAACAGATCAAGTAAAGAAACTGTTGGACCAATCACTGGACAACAAAAAAGTATTTGGTGGATAAAGTCATGAATTGGGATGGGATTGGACTATAGGTGAGACTCTTAGTCTGACTCTTACTGACTGTATGATATTGGTCATTTACTTTGAAAAATTCTCAGTTTATCTCTACAATGAGAGAAATGGCTTCGTGTTGTTTTGAGTAATAAATAAAATAGAAATATATTTAACATGGGTTATTGATGGTATATATTTCAGAAAATGATTTTAAAGATTGCATGAACCAGTACATGTATAATATTTACAACAAAGTTTGGCATCTTGTAAATATCCAATAACTGCTGATTATTAATTTTGTAATATTAGCAGATTTGTTGGCTGATTTTCATTACTGATTTAAGTATGATGCTGATGAGGTTAATTTATGCTACACAAAGAAGTGATTACAAAGGGAATAAAAGTAGAAGAATTTGAAGTTTCTGTACCACAGAAATAATCAGGAAAAAACTTATGGAGAAGGATTTGATGAGAAAAATCAGAAACATAATCTTCATAAATGGATGAAATAAGAGAATGCCTATTAGTATTAATAGGTAGATTCTGTGTTTTCAATTTGAATACCCTAAGCAATTGAGCAAAAATACTCTTCCTCATTAAAGATCATTAATTCTTGAATTTATTTTTCAGTATTACACTATAATAATAGTCTTGTGGCTACTGATGCTCTTTATTCCATTTTTTTCCCCCTGAGGGAAGAACTCTTAAGTTTTCTTTTAAGGACAAGTTAAATTCCTAATGAATTCCCCAACATACGTAATTATTTTAATTTTAAACTATCAGATTTGTTGAGAAATGAATGGTCTTCATCTTTAGAAAACTTCAAGCTACCTTGTTTTAAAGCACTGTCAGGGAAGTTTTCTTAAAATAATATACAGAAAATTATGCATCTAATTAAGCAGAAATTGCATTTGGGGCTGATCCCATAGCAAGAAACCACAAAGGCAAAATTAACCGTGGGAATTCAAAGGCCGTGGGTTCTAAGGGCTCCTGAGAGTGACATTTGTCAATTAAGACACTGACTGAGATAACCTATAAGACCCATTAGCTCTAATATTTAAGGATTTAAGTAGGTGCACCATGTTTACCCACCATTTCCTACCATTGTCACTGTGAAAACAACAGCACTGAGGATTGTATTAGGCTACAATTTAACTGTAATGTAGTGAAGAGACAAACAGAACATGGCTACTTATTGTTGTTGTTTGCCATCGAGTCGGCCCCGACTCATAGCAACCCCTCCTTGGGTTTCCGAGGCAGTATCACTACGGAAGTAGGAATGCCCAACCTTCCTTCCGAGGAGTGGCTGGTGGGTTTGAACCGCCAGCCTTCTGGTTAGCAGTCAAGTGCCTTAGCCACTATGCTACTATCTATGATGGCTACAATTCTCTCTCTTTCTCTCTATCTATTTTCTATCTATATCTACTATGTATGTCTATCTAATGATTTACTCAACTGATAGTATTGAAATTACGTATCTTAGCATGATCCTTTTTTCTTTCCTTTTTAGATTGTTATCTACACCTAGTCATTTTGTGCAAAGTTTAAAATTCTGAAGATGTTATTACTCTTCCTAGAAAGTGTAAGAAACAGTTTTCAAATAATACTAAAAATTTTATTTAAAAAAAGGTCCTATTAATATTGTATTTTCGGAAGTTGAACTATTCCATGAAACTCTGCAGTAACATACTATTAAACCTTTATTCAAAGTGAAGTTATAGATTTCTTATCTCATAATCCACTATTGTTGAGTTGATTCAGAATTATAGTGACTCTACAGGACAGAGCATCAGTACCCCATAAAGTTTCTAAGGCTGTATCTTTATGGGAGCAGACTTGTCATATCTTTCTTCTGTGGAGCAGTTGGTAGGCTTAAACCTCCAACCTTTCACTTAGCAGGTGAGTACTTAGCTACTGTACCACTAGGGCTCTTTTATCAACACATACCACATACTTATTCTCAGATAGCTTAGGCCACCCTCACCATTTTTCATCATAATATGTGGCTACTAGAATTTTTGTCTACTTACTGGATAGAGCTTTCAATGCGGGTGATAGTGAGAAAAGCAGCAAGGTTTGCTGTATAAGATGAGATGACAATCAAAGCAAAAAGCCACCAAGCCCCCATCATCATCCGGGTAGCCAGAGTTGTGTATGGGACCTCTCCACCTGTCAAAATAAGAAAAGAAATTAAGAGAACATCAACAAGTATTTATTGAATACAAGTTCAACATCAAATTAATTTTTAAGAAGTGAGAATTTTTTCTAATTAACAATGTTAGCGTGGATCTTGCCATTTTGCTTATTTTCATCACTTCCTTTGTCTCTTCAATATTCAGGATAATCTCCTTAAAGGATTGTTCTTCCCCTTTCTGTTCAACCCTAGAATTAATTACTCCCTTATAGTAATCACTTGTATACACTTTCTTTTAAAGGGTTTGCTTATTCACTAGCTAAGTGATATTGATAGGAGCTCTGATAGCGTAATGCCTAAGGCACTTGACTGCTAACCAGAAGGCTGGCGGTTCAAACCCACCAGCCACTCCTTGGAAGGAAGGTTGGGCAATCTACTTCTGTAGTGATACTGCCTCAACAACCCAAGGAGGGGTCGCTATGAGTCGGGTCCGACTTGACGGCACATAACAACAACAAGTGATGTTGATACATTTCCAAACCCACTGCCATTGAGTCAAATCCAATACATAGTACCATATAGAACAGAGCAGATCTCCCCCCATAGGGTTACCAAGGCTGTAAATCTTTACAGAAGCAGACTACTACTTCTTTCTCTTGAGGAGCGGCAGATGTGTTCAAGTTACTGACATTTTCTTTCACAACTGAGCACTTTTAACCACTGTGCCACCAGGGTTTCCTTTGATACTGTTGTTGTTATGTGCCATCGAGTTGGACCTGACTCATAGCGACCACTCCTTGGGTTTCCAAGGCAGTATCACTATGGAAGTAGATTGCCCCATCTTCCTTCCGAGGAGTGGCTGGTAGGTTTGAACCTCCAGCTTTCTGGTTAGCAGTCAAGTGCTGTTATGACTATATTTAATATAACTTTTCTGATATCTATCCAATAAATAATATTGAAAAAAAGTTTCTTTTGGTTAAATTCTGGAGAGATATAGGTATTATAAATCTCAGAAACACCCATATCACTATTGGTTTCAGCATCATAATATTTGCCTGTTTTTTATCCTAATTGACTAGTCACTGCTTCACAATCTCATCACATAATCTTCCTCTCCATCTTCTAAATGTGGGCATTTCCTTAGGCTCAGTCATTAGATTGCTTCTGCTCTCTGTCCACATTGCCACCCTGGCTACCATCAACAAATCCTCTGACTTTGAATATCATCCACAGTATACACTGATGACTCTCAAATTCATATTTCAAGCTCCACTCTCTAGAGAGCTACATGATCTCCACTGGGAACCTAATGAACATCACAAATTTACATGCAAAATGGGACTCTTTTTACTCCCTGCTAAAAGGGCAAAGAGGTGGCATCTTCTGACCTCCTCTAACTACACAAGAGACAGAATCACCATCAGCAGCCCAAGGCCTGTCCTTATGAGGTCAGACATGCTACCACCTTCCAACCCTCTTACGAATTTTGTCACCAACCATTTTTCCCATGACACCCTCTTCCTCTCTGCTGGGTTCAATAATTTGCTGCAGTGGCCACCCAGAACTAACAGATTATGGGGTTTACTCTTCGGAAGGAAGATGGGGCAATCTACTTCCGTAGTGATACTGCCTCGGAAACCCAAGGAGGGGTCGCTGTGAATCGGGTATGACTCGCCGGCATATAACAACAAAACAACAGGGAAGCAAAAAGCTACAATTCAAGTTCAGGAACATGCCCAGTCTTTCTCAGGTGGGTGTCTCTCTCAGTGAGCAGTCTTTCTCAGTCTCTCTCAGTAGTACATCTCTTTCTCAGCAATGAACTACCAAACTAGTACTACCAAACTTTTAAAATATTTTGTCTCTTTTCCACTCTAGACATCACCTCTCCCAGATCCATTACCATTATGCAATACATTCATTTAAAAATGAGAATCATATAATGGTACTCCCAGACCAAAACTTTCTGTGTTTTCCTATCACTCTAAGAAAAAAATTCCAAAATCTTTACCTGGGCGGCCAGACACCACCTGAAATGATTTCAGGGTAAGCCTCTGACCTTATTACTCTCTTCCTGGTCTTTTTCCAGTTCCTTCTATGAAGTCATACTGATTTCTGCCTCAACCGTCTGCACTTGTAATTTGCTATGCCTTGGATTCTCTTTAATTTCCAAACAACTTATTTTCCTTCAATTTATTCAGGTTTCTGCTCAACTGATAACTCTTTATAAGGTTATTTCATTATCACTTTATCTAAAATAACTCTCCACAACCCAGTTTTCTATTTCCCTTATCTTTTTTCAAATAATTTATTATATATTTTTGTTTATTTCTTTCCCTTATACTATAATTCGTGATGTAGAAAAATTTCCTTTTTTATAGCAGGTAGGTAAATACTTAATAAATGAATGGATGGTGTATATGAAATATTAATAGGCTTTTCAAAGGAAGTTTGGCTTAAACTAATTGTGGAAATAAATCAATGGGGTATAGTACTACTGCTTTCTAGGTCCACTAATATGTAAATGACTTAACAGAATTCAATTAATTATAAAAGTAGGCGGATTTTCATTTCAACCTTAAATTCTTAGTTTGTACTATTGTTAAGTTTTAAATATAGTGCAAGCATACCCTTTGGATATGCTGTCAGCAATTTTCCTGATGTAATGTACTCAGAACTGGCTAAACTCTGATGTCTGGAACATATTTTCCAAAAGCATTTATAATGCATTTTAGACACTTTCTTCTTCAAAGCAATGGAAATATTCACTCAGTTGTTAAAAGATGAAAGAAAAGAAAAATATTTATTTTTAAATCAACATAGGGTTTTCTGAAAAAAAATTAATTGGAAAATAATAATAAAGTCTGAAGAAAACAATAGCAAAAGAGTATATAACATTAACATGCATAATTAAATAGAACAATATATTTATGACTGAAATGGCTAATTGGACTATCATTTCTATATAGTCTTTTGCCTTGATTGGTGGTGTTGTTATCAACCATATAAAGCAATATTTATTTATCTTTCTTTACCCATGTTATGAAATCTACAACTTCAGGAATTGAACTATTCTCAAAGAATACAAATAAATAACATTTTGTTTGATATCCGCATTCAGAAATCAAATGTTGAATGTAAGGAGAGTTTTGATTTACAATCAAGGTAATGATGGACTAGATAATTCAGAACCATCTTCTTATTGAAAATAGCCAGATAGATTGAACATAAGAAGGCACCTGCTTTATATAATTAATGAAGCAGTAAAATATAGGTGGCCAAGATTTTGGAGAAGAAAACCAGAGATGACCTGACATTTGGGACAGCTTTCCTCTGAGGATTATATGCCAAATGAAGAAAAAGGAGCTAAGAGACTGAGGAGCAGAACAAAGGCTTTGACAACCTTCAACAATTAGATAGCTATACAAATTCGGGTACAGGGCTTGCCAGGATGAGAATGGAACTGGGAAAACCAGGAAGCCCACTTATGAATTCAGATCAACCAGAATGCTCATACTCTGTGGAGGGATTGTTATTGGTTCAATCACTTTTGGAAACAATTTGACAATGACTCTGAAACCTAATTCATGTGTATTTTATGACTTGGCAATTCTATTTGGCAATTAAAGACTTGGCAAGTCTTCCAGTGGGGATATATCCAACAAATGAGCATGTGCATAAGAATGTACATTGCACTATTATTCATCTTAGGAAAAAGGCTAAGTATCCATCAAGAGTAAAATGGATACTTATTTAGGATAAATATTCCTAAAATAGAATATTGCACAAAAATTAAAATAAACAAAACTCAGTTACACATAAAACCATGAATGAATTTCACAAACCTAATGTTGAGTGAAAGGATGTGTGCTTTATCATAATTGTTCAAAAACAGGCAGCTTGAATGATACTGTTGGTTGACCCACTTATGGTTATACTTAGGGGGAGAGAGTAAACGTTGAGAGAGAGAGAGAATGAGGGTTGGGTCACTGATCATGTCCTATCTTTTCCTAGGTGATTATTACACTGTAAATCTGTACGGAAGCAGACTGCTTCATCTTTCTCTCATGAAGTGGCAGGTGGGTTCCAACCACTGACCTTTTGGCTAGCAGCCAAATGCCTTAACCTCTGCACCACCAGAGCTCCCCACACATATTCAATTGATGGTAATTCACTGAGCTATACATCTTAAGCTTTTTTTTTTTTTTTTTTTTAATACATTGTTCTGAAATTGGAAAATGTGAATCTTCTTTGT